AACAGCTTGTACTGACACGTACTGTTTCCTGTTGCCCATTTTAAAAAGTTCCAAAAGATTCCACTATCGGTGGGCATGACAGGCTGGTCAACAATAACTTTCATGTCATTCCAGAGAAACACTGCACAGGAGTAGGAAGAAGAGCAGCTAGCTGATGTGCAGTAGGCATCACAGAACTGTTGATGTAGGACAGTGGAGCTTTACGGCTAAAAGCACTGAGGTTGTGGACAAAAACAGTACCAACAACAGTCTGTGACAACTCCTGTCTGTGTGTGCCAGTGTGCTGTGACTCACAATAGGTCATTATCATATAAACTCACATATAAACTGGGGGAGATGATCCCTCACCACTTCCATGTCAACCACACTGTCTAGACATGGGACTTTATTTTTATATGACAGCCTGTATGTGTGTATCTCTATCAGCCTGTGGTGTTGCCCTATCAGTGTCTGCCCCAGGAAACAGCAGAGATAGTACCTCTGACATACACTCGGAATCTTCAGGACCAGGTTTGGTTTGGTACTTCTTAAAAATCCTGCTGTGCTCAATCTGAAATCTAAAACCAATTTATAGATATGAAGCTGCCTGAAGGTCTCTGAGCAAACATACACCTGCTGTCGATCATTCTGGAGTCCTCCTCGAAACTTTCTAGTAGAGGTGTGTATTGGCAATTCAATTCGTATCACGATATGTGAATTTTGAAGGAATTGATGAAGCCTAGCCTACCAACGCCAAAAAAATTGCAGCTGTCGCATCATTATAATTTTTTCTTTATCTGATTAATCGCTGGATGGCCTTGGAATAATCATGATTTCTCATGATTGATTTCCTGTAATCGACATCACATGTCTCATGTCAGCAGTTCAGTTCCTAGGCCATAATTCGAATGGCGCAGCTACTTCCAACCTACAATTATGTGTTACAAATTGCTAAATATGTGGAAAATGGAACCCGTGAAATAACTTGCTGTTGAAAACTGTCCACTACAATTTAGACTGACAAAACCGTCAATTTTAACACTGACATGATGTTGCCGTTGTCATGTCACAAATGATTTGTTTGTTTTTAGACCCTTCCCTTGAACATACCCATCCCAGTCTTGTTCTTGCTGCTGGTGCACTGTCGCTGCTTCAGACAACGAGTTTTCAAAAGCATTGATGCACGTGCAGAAACATCAAAGAAAAAGATTTTGGGCAGAGCGCATAACCAGAAAGTTTGGACAGACTGGCCTGTCTACCATGCAACCTCAATTCGTCAATGAACCAGGTTTTTAACTCCAAACAAAGAGAGGAGGTGTCTACCTAGCCGATGCTTTCAAGTTGAATCTGTTCTCGTGTTTTGTCTATCACAGCGGGACATTTAAACCACACAAAAAAACACTAAGTATCTACACAGAGACACTTGTTTCATCCAATGTAATTGCTATTTTTGCCGTGCTGTGATTGCTGTTGTCAGTGTAGCACAGAGATAGTTATGTGTGTGCGCACCTGTGTGCGCTTATAAATGTGTACTGTCCCTGCTCGTCTACAATGACAGCATGGTATTCTGCAAAAAGGCTGATCGGCATTTAGCTGTTGTCATAGAAACTGTAAAACCTGGCTTTGGCACTTCATCACTTTTTTCCCCCCTCCTGCTGTTACTTTTACCCCTTTCTTAGTTTAATTTCTGCTATGTCTACAATCAAATATGTGCCCTTTAAAAAAAAAAGAAAGAGGAATGAGAGATTACAACTATTTTTTGCACAGTTGTCAGCAATTTTCTGTAAGATTTGCTTAATTAAAAACAATTCTCACACTCACATTTTAAAAAATTAAAATCTAATTAGTTTTCAACATATCACCTTAGTTTTTTTAAAATTTGACAATTTAGGTCGAACTCAGTTTCAACCAGAAACAAATTATTAGCTCCTCTGCTACTTCTGCAGTCATTTGGGTTCCAAGTAAATTTAAACCCTCAGCTCAGCAGCCAAATTTCTACTGAGCTGTAAATCCTGGATGATTTTGTAAGTTTAGTGTAGGTGTGAAATTAGTGAGGGAACCAATACTGATTGTAGTTGTATTTTTTTAAACCATCTATAATTCTATCTTAATTTCTGTTCAATGGAAACAAGTGTTTTACACCCTCTAATTTACTCACTCTGCATAGTGCACAAATATTTGTCAAGTATTAGATAAATCCCCAATATTTGTAGAACTTCTGTGATTTATTTATGTTCATTGTACACTCCTGTTGGGTGTATTTATGTACTATTTACTGCAGTACTTCAGGCACTTCATAGAGCACATTGTGTGCTAGCATCTAGGACATTAGCGTGTATGAGCAGCATGCTAAAAGGTTGTTGTATTAGCTCTGTGTTAGCTCTAGTACTTTACGCCAATGATACCCTGATGATTTTCAATCCAAAGGAACAACACAGAGAAAAATAAACAATATACAACAATATATGTTGCTGCAAAAATTCACAAGTGAGAACATAATCACATGGTCTGTGTTGTGTTTGCGTGAGATAAAGGTAGTAAGGTTAAGGCTCAAGTCAATCAGAAGACAGTAAAGGACATAGTTGTCTGGCACCTGGGTTGTCATCACTCTTGCACACACACACACACACACACACACACACACAATGTTTTTTGTGTTTTACAATTGCATTTCTTTAAACCCCTACACAAACCTCAAGAATTACACATATTTGTTCAACACCAGACAACCCTTATCAGACCCTTTCAAAGTAAAAACTGAACCATAAAATACATAAATCCCCCTCCTAAGGTTGGCCAACCCAAGTACAGACACACAGACATATACATGAAACATATTCTTCTTTGCCCTAAAGGCTAATTTGTACAGTCTCACTATCTAAATATGTGAACACCTCTGTGCCCTTCAAAAATATTTTGCTCTAACAACTGGTTTGTATATCTGTAAACCTGGCTCCTTTGAGGTACAGACAGATAGTCAAAGACTGACTGACGACAGAAAGATAAACTGCTCTATGACATGTCGCACACATGCCATGATTAACAGACCCGACCAGGCTGGTGACAGGTTCAATCATCGACGAGTCGCCAACAAGGCCGACAAAGAACAGATGATGTCAGTTCCTCTTCTTTATTGAATTATCAGATTGACTGAGTGTAATTGAACTATGCATCGGAGTGCAGAGCAAAGACACTAATTCTCCAGAGAGAGACTGTAGGAGGAGGAAGGGTAGGAGGGGGAAAGGTTTTTTTCAGGAACCAGGAAATGCTTCGTGGAACCAGAGCCATGAGATTAGAGCTGACAATGACTGATGGTTACGTTGGGATCATCAAGTAAGACAGAAAGAGTGCCTGGCCAAATAAAAAGGAATTATCCTTGTTTATCAGCAAAGGTGTGAGAGTACTACTTCAGTCGATCACCTTCAGAGAGATGATTGTAAAAAATTCATCGGAAACTGAAAGATCGATTGCATTTGAACATTTTGATGTTTGTTTGTACTTGACTTGACCTGATAACGTCTTAAAATATGACAAGAATCATGACATATGTCTAGAAATGAGATTGGAAAAAATAGTTATTTTAATAAATTTTGGTAATTGAAGGGCATCTTGACAAGTCTAAGAAACACTAGAGAGAGAAGAGAGTACACGGGGTCCTCGAGTAACGACGGTCTTTTGTTCCTACGTCACGACATAACTCTTTTTTTTTCTCAGATGTATGGGCGCTGGGTTCTTCTTCTGCATCGTGATGGGATATTTTAGTCCTTGAAGTGGGGTTTGTGATGATGGACATGTGTTCTTTGGAGTGTACTCTTGCTCTTTCTCCCAGTGCCAACAATTGTTTTCCATCTCATTATTGTTTATGTGTGCACACACAAAAACAATCCCGAGCCCTGTATGGGATCGGAAACACACGATTCACTGGCTTCATGTTGTGTCATATAGATTCAAATTTGTTCACTCAAAGATTTTGAATGGTGTGTCTTTCAATCCTAGAGGAGTGTTGTGAAGTATGATGACAGTACATTAGATATTTTATGGAAGGTAATTAATACTCAGGAATCCTTCAGAGAAACTGACTAACATAACAAGTAGCATCACTTTACATTTTGGTTTAACTGATACATGTATTATGTAATAATAATTAATAATATAATAAGTTCTGGACATACAATAGTAGAGACTTTTCTTACCATCATCATTACACCCATTTAAGTGTAACTGATTAAAAAACACAGTAATAGTACAGTTTGTGTAAGAGGTAACAGAACCTTTTGTTTACAAGTTTTAGTTTATAAAACATACCCCACGATATGTCCACCTCACCTCAGTGGCAACTTGGCAGCTGGTGGACTCGAACCCGAAACCTTCTGGACTTAAGTCCTGGATGGAAGTGACTGGTTGTGGTTCAAAGTTTTTGGCTGTTGTGGTTTAAAATGAGTCATCGCCATCAGGTGTTGTAAATTCTTGTCGTCCGTTCGTTGACACTGACAACCTATTAACCTATAACATAAATAGATCACTAATGAGGAAGACAAATGAAAAGTGGTTAGCGTGTATTGGGTTGCAGGACTGGCACGTTTCTGAAAACGAGTACAAGAATTTAAATGATGTATCTGGGCCGGAACGGAATTGTGATTTGTATCTCAAGGCACGTGCCTTAGGGCAGCGCAAAACCAAAACGTTGCTGCGACTTGAGGACTGAATTGTGTTGTGAGTTTGAGCCGTGCAAACAGAGAGGATTTTTGATGGGTGTGGAAACAGACTGCCTATTGAAACTGTGCAATAAAAAGGAGTGGAAGGGATGAAAATATACGTTATAATATGTTAATATACATTTTTCCATTTTTTTGTTTGTCTTCCTTTCTCTGCTCACATCCTTCTGATCCTTCTGATCCTTCTGATTTTTTCAACAAGCCTCTGATGTCACTAAATTATTTTTAGTGTATTCTTGTGTGCTATCCAACATCCTGGGCCTTCAATTTCATCAGATATGTTTTAGTCCGAGGTGTTTAGGCTTTAAATGAGGTGTATACATACTCCAACCACTAATGGTCCCAGCCAGAGGCTTTTATTGTAGAAACCCTTTTGATGCAAGGACTTCTGGGCTACAATAGAGTTAGCACAAATGTAAACCTCTTCATTTTCCTTTGAATCAATATTTTATATGTTGTATGAGAACATCTTTTGACACATTTCTACACTGTGTAATGCAGTGAATGAAATGCCTTTCCTGTGATGTGGATGGGGGGTGGTTAAATAGTAGCAATAATTGAGCCTCTTTTATCCGATAGCCTTACATGCACAAGAGAAACCTAAAAAGATACATACAGTGCAAGATAGATATGTAAAATTAGTCAAATGTCACCATTGTTTTAAAAATGTACTGGTAAGCAGGAGTAATAGATATTTATACAGTATTACGTCAAAGGAAATGTAGAATGCAAATCAAGATTTTTTTTTTTCACATTTTTGTCCCAATGCGGCCTGGTACTAAATGACCTATGGACTGGCACAGGTCCCCGGACCTATTGTAGAAAGAGATGTCTACAAATGAGGCAGACCAGGACACACTTTTCCGTCTCAGGGGATTTATTGTATTAAAAGTTTCTGACCATGGCAGGTCCAACAACGAATCTCATCTGAACATTCACCAACAAACCCCACCTTCTGACACATGCTGATCCTTTTTATAGATACAGACAATGACAATGTTACCTACCATCTGGCTGTTATTTTGACCAAACATGGTCAGGCACTTATCAGACAAAAACAAGAAGATTTTACCAAAATTTGGCTTTGGTTATTATTGGGCTTTGGTTGAAAAACATGGTCAGCTTGACCCAGTAAAAATGTCAAAATATGGCAACAGCTTCTCCTTGTCAGTTCTGTTTTCTGTTATTCTGTCCCATACATGATATTTCTCCACCACAGACCAGGGATAAACAGAAAAAAACATATTAAGGAGGGATTTTGTAGGGACAGAAAATGTGCAAATTATTTTGCGTTTAATTGTCATTGGCCTAGCTATAGGCAGTCATGCAATTCAATGCGGTATTTAAATAATGTTCTCATCTTCTTCTTTCTTCTTTTTCTTTGTCCCTTTTTTCAGGGGTTGCCACAGCGAATCGTTGTTTTCCATCTCTCCCTGTTCTCTGCATCTTCTACTCTGACTCCAACTATCTGCATGTCCTCCCTCACTACATCCATATATCTCCTCTTTGGTCCTCCTCTTTGTCTCCTACCTGGTAGCTCCATCTCTAACATTCTTCTACCAATGTATCCACTGTCCCTCCTCTCCACATGTCCAAACCATCTCAATCTGGCTTCTCTAGCTTTTTCTCCAAACCTTCCTGTCTGTGTTGTCCCTCTAATGACCTCATTCCTGATCATGTCCATTCTTGTCACTCCTAAAGAGAATCTTAGCATCTTTAACTCTGCCACCTCCAGCTCCGCCTCCTGTCTTCTGCCTATTGCTACTGTCTCTAAACCATACATCATGGCTGGTTTAACCACCGTCCTGTAAACCTTTCCTTTCACCTTAGCTGACACTCTTCTGTCACAGATCATTCCTGACACTTTTCTCCAAAAAGTGCACTCAATTCTTCACCTCTCTTTCACAGTTTCCTCTGCAATGTTTCAAACAATGTTCTCATCACACTTAAAAAAAAATACAAGAAAATTTGTGTCTCTGTTTTAAGCAATTTACAAAATATAATATTGGTTTTCTTCATCTAATCCAAAAAATTAAACGATACTGACTATACATTTCTGCGGTTTTGTCCTGTTTAGACACACTCTCAGTGCCTCGCTGGTCTCCACAGATTCCCCGAAGAGATCTGGGAAACTCTATAAAACACAGGTAAGAAATCTACACAGTGTTGTGATTTAACAGATACACAGAGATTAAATGGGGACTGTTCCTTGTCTAAAGTGCAAATAAATGTATGAATGTAAAACAGTTCCGTAAATTAATTGTACCTTTATTGAAAGATTAAGGATAAAAAATAGAGTTTGATTTGTGTTACCTACGTGTGGCTGTGATGTCATTGTAACGCTGAAACAACAACGGTTTACTACTGTGACTGCTCTCATGTCACATTATCATTCATATGCAGAAACAGCATCATCTAAAAATCCAACGGGGGTTGTTTGGACCAGTTCTTACAAAGCTGCATAGTCTGTCAGACTGCATTAGTCACCTGCCATTAGCCAGCCAGCTGCACCGCCTGCATGTCGCCATCACAGCAAAACCTAACCAACACTCCTACAAGTGCTTCAGACCTGCAGGGATTTGTTTGTTCGACACATTAAAAAGATGGACCCTCTAGACGAGTGACGGAGGCATCCAAGTTCTCCTACCCGAGTCTGACGGTTGAACTTATATAAACCGCGATGGCTCGTACCCGCTCGGCAGACTGACTGTCTAGAATGTGCATTTGCACTGGGTTAAATGAAAAACTGTGAGGAGAATGAAGTGGGCCTAAATCAAATCAGCAGGTGTTGGAGAGAACGTGGATCAGCACTTTGACTAAAGTGCCATCTTCAGGCATCTTTCATCAGCACAGAAAGGTTACACTGATAGCGTTGGGCTTTATGTGGCAAAAGCAGCTCAGTAGAATTAGAACATCTCATAAAGGCAGTGTTCTGTGGACTGTACACTCTAATGAATGCAGAAAAGGTTCAATTTACTCCCCTGGTTTGTTTTAAAATGGAACCTGTCTTGATATTTTTTCCTTTGTCTGCAGGTTTTCTACAAAGTACTGGATGTCACAAACATGCGTAGTGTGTGGAAAGGGAATGTTGTTTGGACTGAAATGTAAAAACTGCAAGTAGGTTTTCTCCTCCTTTGGCTATTTTGTATGGATTTTATTGTTGAAAAAAAAAAGCAATGGAATTTTCTACGTACTTATCATGCTCTGTGTAGACTTGGACAAAGTAATGACTTCTGTTCATCAACATTGTTTTATACTATATACTTTACTATATACTTTATACTGTATATGATATTTCCATTTCATATATGTATAAATATATATAAATATATATTTTATTAAAAAAATACAGTAGGACATTACATAGTATTTAATTGACCAAAAGTCTAATTGATTTGTAACAACAGTTGTAAGTATAAATATATAGTTATATTAATATTAGAGTATATATATATAGACTTATACATATAAAAGTATATATACATATACATTATATATATATATATTTCACAATATATGTATTTATGTTTGGGATATCGAAATTGGAAATTTAGTGTTTGGAAAATATCAGCATATCGGATCAGCAAAAGTCAATATCTGACATCCCTAATTTATGTATATAAATACAACTTTGTACCACTCAATGCATCCATGAATCAGTTGTTCTGAAAGTGCCCTAATATATCTATATGTTAATATACGTGTTTATATGTATACATATATTATATAGTACTTATGTATATGTGTATATATAAAAAAATGATTTTTCTTTTTTACAATTGTGAGGCAATATGACCAAGACACAGTGTCTGAATTTGTTGCCAATTACTTCTGCTTTCTCCTTAAGGAACAACTGTTTGGGTAAAAGTTCTCTCTTTGTGCCATTCATTCAGGCTGAAGTGCCACAACAAATGCACCAAAGAAGCCCCACCTTGCCATTTACTGATCATACAGCGAGGAGGACGAGAATCTTTCAAAGGTATCCTTTTGCTCCGTGAAACCTTTTTCCACAGAAAGTTAAAATTTCACTTTTGATTCTACATTATTTGTACATTCTTTGGTGCAGTTAATACACTTAAAGGCTTTTCCTTTATCTCCAGTCTGTAGTGACTAACGTGGCTTGTCGACTCCTCACGTTAAATTACCCCTCTGTGTGTCACCATATAAATTGCATTTGGTGAACAGGTCATTTATTTCCTGACAGTCCATCTGACTGGACCAGACTTGTTAAATCTGCTGTCTAGACCAAACTAACCTGGTGACAGGCAGATGGCGTGTGGTTTATTTTTCCCGATTAAACGAACTGGTTTAAGAAATTATTTAATTCTAATAGTTTAGACAGAATTAGTGATGAGTTCTGCCTGAGAGAAAAATTAGAAAAATACTTTGAAATTACCTCAAAACAAAATACAATGAAAGGATGGAGTTTAGTTTGTTTGTCATACTACCTGCAAACAAATACAAAAATATGACATAGCAATAGCATCATCCTTTAGCCAGATGGTTGTAGGATCTAGTCTAGATGCTGCCCCCTGCTGGTGTTTTCAACAGTATAGAAGTGGTAGAACCCTCTCCTATCGCAGTAGTTGTAGTGATGGGAAGACCGACTTTTTTTATTGATTCGAATCTTTGACTCTCGAACAGTAAAATGAACGAGTGGTGAACAAATCTTGAACGAATCATTTCATTCGTTTTACAGCAGGTGGCGCTTTAGACATATTGTGGGCGTTGTAAAGAAGGCTGCGGTTCTCCGACACTAAATAAGGCGACACAATGTGAAGATGAATGAGAGCAAAAAAGACCCGAGCTCCCTGTCACGTGACAAATGAAACGAATCTGCGAGAACGAGGCGAAAGATTAGTTCACAGAGAGTGATTCGTTTGCAATGAAAGATTAGTTCACAGTGAAATATTAGTTTGCAGAGAGTAATTCGTTCGTAGTGAAAGATTAGTTCACGGCGAAAGATTAGTTCACAGAGAGTGATTCGTTTGCAATGAAAGATTAGTTCACAGTGAAATATTAGTTTGCAGAGAGTAATTCGTTCGTAGTGAAAGATTAGTTCACAGTGAAATATTAGTTTGCAGAGAGTAATTCGTTCGTAGTGAAAGATTAGTTCACAGTGAAATATTAGTTTGCAGAGAGTAATTCGTTCGTAGTGAAAGATTAGTTCACAGTGAAATATTAGTTTGCATAGAGTAATTCGTTCGTAGTGAAAGATTAGTTCACAGCGAAAGATTAGTTCACAGAGAATGATTCGTTCACAGCGAAAGATTAGTTCACAGTGATTTGTTTGCAATGATAGATTAGTTCACAGTGAAAGATTAGTTTGCAGAGTAATTAGATCGTAGTGAAAGATTAGTTCACAGCGAAAGATTAGTTAGCAGAGAGCGATTTGTTCTCAGTGAGTGATTAGTTCGCAGAGTGTGATTAGTTCGCAGTGAGTGATTTGTGAGTTCAATATGAATAAATATTTAATATGACTCAGTAGTCACGAGTCACGAATCTTTTATATGACTCGGGAGTCACGACTCATATGAAAGATTCGTTCATTTTGAACGAATCACTCGCGAACGACACATCACTAGTTCACAGCGAAAGATTAGTTAGCAGAGAGTGATTTGTTCTCAGTGAGTGATTAGTTCGCAGAGTGTGATTAGTTCGCAGTGAGTGATTTGTGAGTTCAATATGAATAAATATTTAATATGACTCAGTAGTCACGAGTCACGAATCTTTCATATGACTCGGGAGTCACGACTCATATGAAAGATTCGTTCATTTTGAACGAATCACTCGCGAACGACACATCACTAAGTAGTTGCGTTTCAAGAACCACCACGAAAAGGGAAAATCTGCGAAGCAGAGGCGAGATAGTTATTATATTATTAAATTATGTATATAATATACCATTATTTACCATTATATATTTACCATTTAAGAACCTCCCCCACACTGTTATCACCCCCCACCCACATTTTTTAAGCCAAAACATTTGTTTGTATAATTATCTTAGAATGTATTTTAGTTTAGTAGTTTTTGCTTTATTTTCGCAATGTACTGAGGGTGCGAAAGGAGAACCGCGATATAGAGATTCAACACTGTACACTGAAAAAAAAGCTCACCTGCCGTCAGAAGTGACATTCTTCTGTCATCTTTCCATCTCCCCCCTCTATCCTTCCTGGCTTCACCCAATTAGACCACCAAGGAACAACTCAAGGTAAGATGTCCTCCTTGTTATTATTTTTCTGTTCAGTTTTATTAATTAAAAGCAGTGATTTTGTACGGACGGTCTCCTTTCAGTTCAGTTTTTCAAACAGCGTGCAACAACTTTGATCACTTTCTCATCATGAACCTGCTCTGATCTTGTGCTCTACTTGATTACCTACAACTACTAAATATACTTTGTTTGATCGTTGCCTCCCACAGTGTTTGATTACGAACCTGTGCTTGTTGTCCTTCCGTAGTAGCTCGGCTGGTACGAACGGAATCAGTGCCATGTGACATCAACAACCCTCTTAAGTACACCGACCTGCACATCAGTCAGACCCTCCCCAAAACCAACAAAATCAACAAGGTAAATAAAGAAATAACCTCATTATATGAGCGTTGGTTTGATACCTGTCCTACGTACTGCGACGTACTGCAACTGCAGATAAATGGTTCTGAGTCACCCACTTCCTCCCAGGGGTTTGTGGAAATATATAAAAATATCTTGGCTTGTTTATGTTCACACTTTTTCTTTTCACCCACTGAATAATTTCCCGCACATAAACAAATGATGGAAACTGCCCAGACCACAAAAACATGTATACGTGCTACTATTCCAGATACATAAACTGATCGTTTTTTTTTTAAAAGGCTTACGTCGTTAAATCGTTTGATGGAGTGACAGGGCAACATCCAGCTGAACATCTTGTTATCCCAATTTGCACAGATTAGAAAACAATACATCAAGATATAGACCAAGGGTGTCAAACATATGGCCTGTGGGCCACATGGCCCACTCTGTGGTTCATTACGGCCCGCTTGATGAATGTGGGATGTTGTTATGTTTTGTCAAGTATTTCATTAAATATAAATTCTTTCGAATATATTTGTACTGATTTGCAATAAAACAAAGAAAAAAACAGTGGGGTTATTGTTATTTATAGGTAATTATTTTATGATTGTTCTGATCTGGCCCACTTGACAGGGTGTACATGGCCCCTAAACCAAAATGAGTTTGACACCCCAATACATTCGCTGTTGATGTCCTTTAAAGTCAAAAACATCTAGAGAACTTTTTGACCTATACCTTGTTTTGCCTTCTCTTGACTGTCTGACTGTATATCAGTCAATATATTGACTGTTCAACAGCTATAAAGAACAAAACGGGGCTGTATTCAAACAGCCTCTGGTTTTATTCAATGCCATTAGGCCATCATTATATTCAGCCATTATTAAAGTTGTAATTAAACTGAGTCTAGACAGTGATTACGATGAAAGCCCGATTCAATAAATTTCACTTGAATGATGTGAAAATGTCACATCATTCACGATGTCAGCCCATAAAAGAACTGCTTTGCAGTTTCTCAACACAAAAAAAAGTTGATTAATAAGCTAAGGTCTTGGTGGGATCAGATTGATTTAAGTGAACAGCTGGAGCTCTCAGAGTCATCTGATTGAGGACGATATGCCAAGGCGTGATGGGATTATAAATGTAAAGTAGTTTATCTGATTCATCTTCAGCAGAACTGTGTTTTCAGAGTGGCGCATCATCAAATGCACCGTGGGGTATACTTCAAAAAGTGCCTTCCTTTGCAATAAAACCCCGACTTTGTTAGGGTGGAAAATGCAACGTATCGTATGTTGTGATGGATCATCTCTGTCAGAGTAGTTTCACGTCTACATGGGAATGGGAGAAAAATCAATCTTAAAATTTAAACAGTGACACAGAAAAGCTAACAGACTCAGCTATATCACAATCTGGCAAATGCTAAACAGTAACCAACCCTTCTGGATGAATCTTTTCTGCCTCCTTAGGATCACATCCCAGTTCCGTACCAACCAGACTCCAGCAGTAACCCTTCATCTACCACCTCATCCACGCCATCCTCTCCGGTGCCTCCCTTGCCCAGCAGTGCAACCCCTCCCTCACCACTACACCCTTCTCCACAGTCAGCACGGCAACAGAAGCAGTTCAACTTGACAGGTTTGTTTGATGGGTATCTTTGTTCATCCTGGGGATATGGTTTACATCTTAAATCAGATAAACCAGTTTTAAACTGGAGAGATTAAAGTTGTTGCAGGATTTTTACAACACACAACATCACCTCTGACTGGTGTATTCTTGTATACTTGATTGATAATCCTCCTCTTGCAAGTCGCTTTGGACAAAAGCATCTGCTGAATGCGTAATTGTAAATCTAAATGTCTTGGTATTCCTTTTTGTTGCAAAGAAACAGCACATCCTCAAGATGAAACAAAAAACCCCACAATAGATGGTATTTGAATCAACCCACTAGTCAACTCCTTAATTTCCAAAAGGATCTATCTATCTATCTATCTATCTATCTATCTATCTATCTATCTATCTATCTATCTATCTATCTATCTATCTATCTATCTATCTATCGACTCCATCCATCCATCCATCCATCCATCCATCCATCCATCCATCCATCCATCCATCCATCCATCCATCCATCCATCCATCCATCCATCCATCCATCCATCCATCCATCCATCTATGAAGAAGATGTGAGGTTGAGGGTGTTAGCAGGGCTAGCTTTATCTGTCTTTTAACAGATAAACACACTGATGCTACATGTGGTTGCGTTGGCAACACACTGCTAACACATTACACGGTAGTACACCACAAACACACTGCTAATCTGACACCTAACTAGGACGTTGTCCACATGCTGCTAATTTGTAATTTACAGTGCACTGCTGAAACACAGCCAACATGCTACATGCTAGTGCTCCGAGAAACTCTGCTGTCGCAATTGATGTTTTGTCAATTTTGTTTGTGGAAACATTTTTAACCAAGGTTACAGATTACATTTATCTTAAACAAAGTGCTAGCTGACTTAGCAACACAAGGGAAGGGCAGCCACATGCTCTATGCTAACAAACACACAACTCCCTTTAGTACAACAAAATATATATTTCCCGGTAATCCAAGTAGTCAAAAGCTTTCGTGGAATTAATATTAAATGATCTTCCTGCTTGTCTGTTTATGTTCTGAAAATCACACTTATATTCACATATATGTCTACCATTAAACCAGTGCTTTGAAATTGTTCTTTTATCTCTTTGGTTAAAAGGGAGGGAAAGGTTGATGCAAAAGAGCGTCCAACTTAGCTTTGTTCAATGTTTTCGGACGACTTTCAGAAGAGCGCTTGTAATTCAACAGGTAGAAAAACAACAGGCTCTGAAGCGGAGAATCCACTTGACGTCAGTCCTGAAGTCATATGGAGCACTAAATAATCTGAACGAGCCCTGAGGGTGTGCATGTATTAGACTTTATTCTCTCAGACTATGACTCAGAATCACTAATGTGGACCTAATGTTGGTACAAGAGAATACGTCGGAAGGATACATTATCTTGAAGGCGGTGATTTACGCTGAATCTTTATGCCCACCCAGGAGTAGGTTGTTGGGATGCCGAGGAACGACAGACAAACTTCCCCATATGTCTTAAAACTTTATCCGTTCTATAAATACGTCAGCACCGCATGCAGTGAATCTGACGGAAATCTGTTAATTGATGAGGTGAAAAATCCAATATAAATACTTAATTTGAAGGAGCGATGTGGTGAAATATTTGCGCGTGCATATGTAGAATGCGCTTTGTGAAGCAGAACTGGAACTCATTAAGCTTTTTGATTTTCTAATTTAGAGAAAGACAACATTGAACTCCATGACTCCAGATTAACATTCCCGTCTTCTTTCACTCCCCGCAGCCTCAAGTTATTTCAAATACAAACAGCAGTTCATCTTTCCAGGTAAGGCTCTTCTATAGTAATTGATCATTATTCCCACCCACAGCGCTAGCCTAGGCTAAGTGAAAAGAAGGACTCTTTTTCTGCTAATTTCCATCTCCATCTCGGCCTTCTTAATGACTCTTGGCCCCGACACCCAGCTTTTCCTATTCAGAGTGTCCCTAATGATTTGTTGATTCTTGTACTCTACCATTGTCCACGCTGGCCTCTGCTCATTTAGCAGCTCATTACAGCTCAAACAAGCAGGAGTAGCATGAGTTTTTTTTTTTTTATTACAGACTTGAATGCCTTCCTTCTAGATTTCTTTAGCTCCTGTTGAAAACACACTGATCCACTGTTCTTTACAGTTGGTGCACGTGCCGATGTTGCGTTCAGGTCTTCTTAAATTGGTCTTATATGCTCTGCTGCACTTGTCAGAGCCTCATTCACAGGTTTTATCAATTCAATTCTTGTCAAAGATATACCTAAATCCTTGCAAATGTTATATTTAAAAAAAAATACTATTGTTAATTATGACAAAAAAAAATAGCAATTTACGATCATTACATTACATCAATTTTTTTAAATCTAGGTTCATAGTCCTGGACTGTTCCAGGTAAACAAACTGTGACCTCTCAACATCCTCAAGGCTCGATCAAAGTGTTTGACTCAGGTCTTCAGATTGTACCTTACCTTAAATCTTAAACTCTATGTGAACTCTACTAAACTGTTAGTTTTGGTAAAGAAAGAAGTTGCCAGTCGTTGTTTGCTGTAAGCCAGAGTTGGATTCCTCAGAATTAAGTTAGCCAACACCCTATTCAAGAACATTGATTCAAATGTTCCCAAACGTGACACCAGTGGAAGTTCCTTTAACTTCACTTAAAGGATGTAGTACCTTTAAACCTGTACCGCAGTCCTATTAGAGAGTTTTATTAAATGTATTAATGTCTGACAGAAACAGGATATTTAAATTCTCTTATCATGGTGTTTCAGAGATTTAATATTTCTGATATTATCTATTTAAGACATCAAACTGCAGTTTTTTGATGTACTGTATTGGATCCATGAACTCTTCATCTGGTGACTATAAGGGTGGAGTACATCCCACATCTTTTTTTTTTTGCTGCGATCACAGACAAAGACCTCGAGTGCTTAAATGACTCAGATTCATGCCACTGGATAATTAAAGCTCAGGAAATCCTGCTGGTTGGTCACTGGGGTAAATCCATACAAATAGCTCTGCCGTCTTTGCTGAAAGGCAATGATGTCAGCTCGTAATGCACCATGTCACAAAGGATTGCTTTTTGTGGCTCCCACGTCGTGTCACAAATCGTGGGAAAGTGCCAATGCTGGCAGCCAACATGCCAGTGAATCCTCTGATGTCTTTCACTGGTGCACATAACAGGAGAAAAAAAAATACCCATACGACATCAGTGCTAACAACGGGGATAACAAAAGCTTTTATGATGTGAGACTGTGGCAGCTGTTTGTATTTTTAAAGCAAATCGACACCATTTAAACAGCAGGAAGCACTGCCCAGAAAACATCTGGATCGTGGACCAGAGATGGGGCAACAGGCTACTGGATTTTTTAGCAAGGGTTGATAGTTCAGAGTTACACAACTGGATAAATGAAACCAGTTTATACAGAATATAATTTTAATAGTAGAACAACTAAAACATGCTTAAAAAATTTAAAGCTAAATTTACCCATCTTCAAATTTTTCTTTTTTTTTTTTCACTTGTCTCCCTGAAGATGTCACACCAGAGGCTCCGCCCAGCAGAGCGCCTCAAGTGATTCTACACCCTGTACTGTCAGAACCAGGGTAAGTATATAACTGACTCAAGGGAAATTTGAAAGTTTATTTGTCACATGGTCATTTATACTGACTTCAGTGAAACTTAAACCTGAGTCGTTCCATAAACGAACTAACTAAACGTACTAACTAACAATGTCATTTTTTTCCCAACAAAATTACCAGTAATCAACACTCTCTTCATGTTAAATCTAGGAAATATGAACCAAAATAAAAACCAGATCGGTGTTTACCTCTTGTTACTGACAAATTACAGAAATATTTCCAGAGAATCACGAATGAAATACATGGATTTTCTCGATACTGCACATGTTTGAATATCCGTAGAATGTCAACAACAGGATGAAATATTAGAGACCAGTATATAACGGGAACTGTTTTAGGGTGAGGGCTGAGAAGGGTAATATATTAAAAGATGAGGGGAAGCGATGTGGATCCCAGAGTCTCATTGAGGAAGTCGGTGGTCACCGTTATACTCCTGAAAGAGGAGAAGAAGTGATGAGATGCTTTGTGACTCGTCCACTAACAGGATCAGAATCTCAATCTGTCTCAACAACCGGGGCAAAACGAAGGCTGTTTACAAGCACTTAGTCGATCGTGATGAAATATGGCGCATGGAATATAATAGAATAATCAATGGAAACTTGAAACGTGGCCAGTTTGGTTGATTGGTGGATTGTAACTGGGCTTGAATGAGAGTTCAAACTGTTGGACTTGGTGACTTGGTGACCAGTGTCAGCTGGGATTTGTTCCAGCTTCACCAACAACCCTTTCATTTACAATAGGCAGTAAAAAAAAACTCAAAATGATAGTTTTCCTGAAGGAACATGTTTTGAAGAAACAGCCATGAAATTGTACTTTGTTCCTTTAAGCAGTTTGTCAGCTAACATGCTAATACAAGTATTAGCTCCTTATTTTTGTCTTAGTTAGTCTACCTCAGGGGTTCGCAATTATCTTCTGTCATGACCCTCCCCATGACCCACGCCCCAGGGATTGCTAAACTATTAAGAACCTGATAACATCTATATTTTTATCTGTAAAAACACTAATAAAACAGTAGAATCTGTTCCAGGACTGAGCTCGTAACTCGAGATGCTTGTATCTCAAATACAAGCATCTCCAATAAGAACTAACAAAAAATGTATCTGTTCCAGGCCTCTAAAAAACTCCCTTATTAAGACTAATAACAATGGAAAAAACATGTTTTTAATTCTTTCTGTCTCTCTGAAGCCATGAGTGCACGTTATAACGTTGAATAAGCTCTAGAGCTGATTTTATCTTATGTCCAACAAGACTTCTCTGATTCAGAAGAAGAAGATGGGGAGGAATACAACCCAGAGCATGATGAATCATCATCAGAAGAAGAAGAAATCCCTGAATCTGGGAGAGACTTTCCTTTAAAAAAAAACTGTCAAAATAACATGGTCCTTGGCAGCATATGACAAACACGGCAGGGTGGCAGAACAAAATGTCATGAGGAAGACCACAGGAACCACCAGATATGCTGTTTCTGATGCCCATGACATTGTCTCAACATTTTACATGTTCATCACACCAGCAATAGAAAAAATAATCCTGGAGATGAAAAATCTGGAGGGTTTTCGCAAATATAGCGACAGCTGGAAAAGGATTATATATATATTATATATTATATATATTATATTCAAGGTTTAGTAAAAACAGGTCATTTGGACACGGGGTGTATACAGAATATGAGGGCAACAGGAGGGTTAATTGCTATAAAGACATACAGACACACAAAAAATTATATAAAATAAAATATGGTTTTAATTATGGGTTCTTACCTTCGAGACAGACGATACAGTAGCGGTGTTAAGATGTTGTAAATACATTGATTCAATTTCTACAAAGTATCTACAATGTATTCCTTACATAAAGTTTCCATATCAGCAGTGATCTGCTCCGAGTGCTCGGCCACCTAGTGACGGTGTCTGTAAGCGTGCTCGCATCTCAAATCCTGAAATCCTTAGTCATATCTCTTGAAGGCTTGCTCGTATCTCAGGATACTTGTATGTCGGAATGCTCGTATCGCAATGTTCCACTGTATTCAGAAGTCAGAAATGATTCGTTATTTATCGTGGACAATTCACAGCTACCATTAATCATATCAAAATGTTTAATCGTTTTGTCCGCTTCAGTTTCTCTGAAAGAAAATGTTGGGACACCTGGTTACCCTAGACGCCGACGCACATTAAAAATGTCCATGTCTTGTTGGAAATCCCATGGACACGCTTCACATGCAGTGATAAAACTTCATGGCAAAAAACTGTAAAACCTACAGTCCATACTTCTTTATCAATTTATCCTTGAAACGGTCTCGGGGAGAGCCCCGGTCGATGGAGCCTCGTCTCCTGATTTAATTGATGCGTTTGTCCCTCCCGTCAGTTTCTTTATGCGCTCTCACATGGCAGCTGCTAGATTTCTCTGGTCTTAATGGTCTCTTCCCAGGGTTAATGAGGGCCTGTCTCAGACCCCAACAACCGGCAGGATCACCTCATTAGAGCAGAGATCGAACTGGTGGTAGAGACAATTGGCGCCACAGGATTTACACATTATTTTATGTGCTACTTCACCTGTGCTCTTCGCCCAGAGAGCAGCACTGCTTTGAAAGCCAGTGTTAATATACCGCAGAAAAGGTTGCCGGAGGTTAGAGGCTGGCGTTACACAGCTAGTTATGTGAACTAAGAGAGCTGGAAGCCGAGGAGGGAGAGACAGTTCTTTCTGTGTCCTGTCAAAGGCACCTGTTGAGTATGTGACCATGTACATACTGAGGTCAGAGATTAATAAGAACTCAACATTATAATATGACTGGACCTCATCAATTAATGTCAAATGGACCCTTGATCGTGAACTTTTGTGACTTATTTTTATAATTATTTAATAGTTAATTATCTGTCTTTTTTCACCATCAAAATTCTTCAAGTGGGTCAGTTTTGACCCATGGGCCACACTACACTATACTCTATGGCCTCTACTACACACTGCAGAATTATATATATATATATATATATATATTTATATTATTGTTTCAAATGCTAAGGATCTACCAGCACTTCCTTTGCGATCAACTAGTAGATCACGATCCACCTAGTGGGCACCCCTGCTTGGGACACGTTATCGAAAAAAAAATTGCTGTTAGTTCACTTGTTCAAATTAGTATAATCGGGAAAGTAAAAGAAAGAAGAGAGAACATAATGAAAGATCGCAACACAAATAAACAAGAACAAGGGGATAAAGAAATATATTCTTGGCAAAGTCAAGTCATGTGAGTGACTGATTTGGAAAAACCCAAGCTTTTTCTATATATTTCCTTCATTTAAGTCTCAAACTTTCAACAGAGTTTTCCTATAGAGAATTCCTCCTTTGTAGAAAGATTTATTTCAGAAGGGATCACATTCTGTGTCTTCGTCTCCTCTAGGGCACAAGAGATTTTTTTTCTCTCCAAATGTCTTTCGAGAGGCATCTATGTCAACCAACAGCTTGTGAAATTATAGCATTTATAAGAATAGTTGACCAAACCCCATATTAGTATTGCTCAGTGTCAACTTGCCACTCATTAAACCAGATTAAAAGGTGAATTCATCAAAGCATTAGTGCAAATGAAACCACTGTCTTCATAGTATTTCTATTATAGACTACTGTTTAGCCTACATTCTGTTTTTATCCTATTTACTATGTCACATATCAGCTTAAAAACGACTTAGAGCAGATATGGGCAAACTAAGGCCCGGGGACCGAATGCGGCCCGTTCAGCTTTTTAAACCAGCCCACCAAACTTTTCCAATTTATATAATTTATTTACATGATCATTTTACTGTGGCCATTTCCCTGCAATACCCATGTTTCCCCAATGGATGGCATAGAAAATGATAAAAGCATTTTAGCATTTTAGCATTTATGTATGACTTTTACATTTCATTTATCTTCGTTCACATGCCCGCCTGTTCAATGTTAGGTCAGTTGTGGCCAAAAAGTTTGTCCACGCCTGAGTTAGAGGGTTAAATTCAGTGGTTTTACACATATATTGAGTAAATATAAAAACACGAGGTAGATTGTAAATGAATGCTTACTGAGTTATGCACTCATCATTCATTCAAATTTTTTTTTATGGCTTTCAGGAATGAAGGCAACCCTTTACTTCAAGTGGAACCAACTTCTGATGTGAGTCTCTTTGAAATGTGGATTTTTCTTGATACAGCTTTGGTTTTTTAACAATAATAAGTGGGTGTACAATCAGTCAAGTGAAAGCTCAAGCACCTGGGGGGACAGCAGTGCACAGATTCAAACCTGAAACCTTCCAGATCAACTAACAACAAAACAGTTTCAGGCAGTTACCATTCAGGTGTCACTGTCCATTTTAAAACAATACATTTTCCGAGCTGACTGAGGAGCCTCTGGGTAAAACTCTGCTGCACACCATGTTCAGGAAACAATGACAGCTATAATACACCAACAACACCGTTTCAACAAAAGCTGGTTCATGTGTATACGTGTATATACTTATACACATGAACCAACATATATACCTATATGTGTATATATATACATATATGTATATATATACATTTGCACCAAAATATTATTCTCTTTGCACCAAAATATTTTGTCCATATTTGGTGTTAAAAAGGCTACAATGCAATCACAATATATATAGTATGTAAACATATTTAAATACATATAAACAAATATAACACACACAATCCCACACACACAAATATATATATATATATATATATATATATATATATATATATATGAAGTTGTTAAATATACTATACATTTCTCAAATAACACTCTTTTGTCTTAACACAGAATGAAGAGGGTAACAATGAAGACTCGGGCGATGAGTTTGAGGAGATGAATCTGTCGCTTCTGTCAGCTCGCAATTTTCAGCGCAAGGCCAGCCAAACCAGCATCTTCCTGCAGGAGTGGGACATCCCGTTTGAGCAGCTGGAGATTGGTGAGATGATTGGCAAGGGGCGCTTTGGCAAAGTTTTCCACGGACGTTGGCACGGAGAGGTCGCCATTCGATTGATAGACATTGAGCGTGACAACGAGGACCAGCTCAAGGCATTCAAGCGCGAAGTGATGGCCTATCGTAACACGCGCCACGAAAACGTGGTTCTGTTTATGGGGGCGTGCATGAGTCCACCACATCTGGCCATTATTACAAGGTAAGGATATGAATATAAGATACAATATATACAAGGTTGGTGTAGAAAAAAATTCAATCTAAATTTTTGAAGTTTTAGAACAATCAACTATGTCATGAGCACAATATACAATATGCCATGCTTAGTGATTTTATCTGTTGTCTTGCAACATGAATGTCTCTGGTTTAAACCCTATGGTCAGTTGAGGTCTTTCTTTTTTGGACGTGCACATTGTTCACACCCATAAATGTGAGGGTGTTTGGTTGTCTGACTCAAATGTGGTTCTGTGACGGACTGGCCATCTGTCCAGGATACAGTGAAACTTCAAGATACGAGAATAATCCGTTCCAGGACCGAGCTCGTAACTTGAGGTGCTCGTATCTCAAATCATTTTTTTCCCATAAGAAATAAAAGGAAAGAAATGACGGTAATCTGTTCCGTGTCTCTAAAAACTCCCTCATTAGTGCTAATAACAATGGGAAAAAAACATCTTTTAATTGTTATAGAGACACACAGACACAGAAATTAATAATAGTATATAAGGATTCCTGTAATATAAAATAAAATGTGGTTTTAATTATTAGAGTAGGGGAGGAAGGGAGGGAAGAGAGTTGTCCCGTACGTAGACACTTGATTCCTTACCGTACCTTACACTACGTAACTTATAAAACTTAGAATTAACTTAACTTACGTATTATTATTTTTTACTTTAGGATGGTACATATTGTGGATGTACTGCGATCATACATGCGTGCCCGATCTCTCACACGGGCACCACATTCCTGACATCCTTTCCACTCACTTTCTTAGGACTCATCACTGTTATGAAGAATAATGCACAAAATAGAGAGAAAATCACGTAGATAACGCAAACACAATATGGAAGACTCACGGGAGATTACTCAAAGGCTTGCTCGTGTGTTGAAATACTCGTATGTCGAGGTTCCACTGTATATTGCTCACTTGCATGTTGACCACTGGATTTGTATGTAGCCCCCCTGAGACCCTGAATATGATGAAGTGATATGACATAGACTGATGGATAGATGTTGAAATCCTTAATCTGTGTGCAACTCCTCTTCTTGTCACCCTAATAGCTGCTTGGTCACCAAAGCCCAATGTCAGCCTTAGTTCCAAGGGAGTTTTCTCTTTTGATATTCAAACTTTTTTGGTTGAAAGTGCCCAACAATGAGGCAGAATCCTCAGCTGCTGTGGCTGAATGAATGAACCGCCCACACTTACTGTCTGCAGCTGCATATCTCTATTAACTACTGTCTGTGGCTGTAGATAAAACGAGCACAAAGGGTCACAGAGAACCTAAATTAATTCAGCCATGTTGAGAGCAACTTTAATTATTTCATGGATAAGTGTTCAGCGGTTTTAAAGAAAGAAAGACATGACTTTGTTCTCGTTAAAGACCTTCAGAAGGAATGTGCTCAACTGTTTAATTAGCTGTTGGAGGAGATGATGTTCAGGAGGAAATTTTGTTCTATATTTGCCTATTCTTTTAGGCTGGCACTTTAATCTACACAGGCTTTAAAATAATATTTCCAGCCCCCACCCTTTAAAAGATGAGCAATTTCATTTTCCGTCAAGAAGAAAAGAAAAAAAAAACTGAATGGCATGTTGACTCCGCCGCTGTGAGAAAACTGCTTCGAGAAACAACGCTGAATGGAAAATGTGCTCCTATTTATCACATTCATATTCATGGTAAATATACTTAAATTGACTGACTGACTCCCGGCATGATGGACTGATTTATTACACATTTGATTGCAGCTGATGTCAGTTGAAATTGTTGCGAGTGTGTAGGGACTTTTTGCCTCTCAGCCATTCTCACTGCTGATTGCTGCAAGTAATGCAAATGCCAACAGATGGCTTTGTTTCCCAGTGTGATTCATCATCGTGTATTACACAGTAAAGGGAGCGCTCAAAACATAAATTTGAAACATGTAATCGTCGCACTAATTAATCATCATCATTCTCATTTAAAACAAAAAAGCCTTTGTCTCAAACGTCACATGTACATTAACGAGTACACGATTAAGGAATGTAGTAAACTTACTGATTTAAAGTTTACTTGAGGGACTCTAAACAAAATCTATCTCTCAATTTTCAAATAAAATTAGCTTGTGATAATAATCACAAAAGTAAAAAAATCAACAACAACAGTAGGTAAGTTAAATAACATTATGCCTTTTTCTTTTTCTGAGTTTGATTAGAGGATCTTTGACTCATGATTCCGGACTCATAGTTAAAGATTGATAGTTAAATTTCCCGAAGGGAACTCCCGAGGGATTAATAAAATTCCATCTACTGTATCTAGCCATCTTTTTGAATAACTTTTGTGTACTTTCGATGACTCGGGAACTGAGTTTGAGGTTTTAAAGGAAATTTAAAAACAACACAACATTTAAACCAGTATCCCAAACATTTTCTGGGGACCCATATTTTAAAAGTCACAACCACACCCCAGTCAATGGGCATTATTCATAAACTCCTGGAAAACATGATGCAAGACGACCCAAAAAAGTAAAAAAATCCCTGCGACCCACCTGAGAGTCGTGACCCAGTCTTTGGGAAACAGTGGTTTAAGCAAACAATATACCGTAGTAGGGAGTGGTTTTGTGTCGACCCAGAGAGGGCATCTCTCTGCCCTCTTTTCTCTAGTGCTTTGACTTTTTTTTAAATGTTCACACTGACGAATCAATGGAAAGTGATCCTACAATAGTTCCCTGAGGCACACCTTTGGCTGAGACTCTCCAAAAACCACAGATTGTCTTATTCCAGTGGAATACCTTGAGCAGAGTCCATGGGCATTTTTTTGAAACAGTTACCAAAGTGAGGTGGAGCACACCAACAGGTCCTTCAAATAATAATAATGTTCATGAACTTGATCCCAATATTGGAATGGTCAGTCTAAGTCACGCCATGTGAGTCATGTGATGGTGCAACAAATAAACATAAGGGAGGCAGGGGGAGCAAAGTGTGCCTGCTCTGCACTGACACAGGAACAGCTAGACCGGCAACCTGGCTGTTTACTCTTTGCCGAAACCGCAGCATTGCAAACAAGAGCAGAACTTAAAGTGAAGAAGCGATCTCACCAGGCTAGTATCCATCCGATACCAACTTGATATCGATACTATTGATATTTGGATTGATCCGCCCACCACTAGTTTCTGTTGACCATACATTTGCAGTCAATATTTGGAACTTGGAAATATATTCGATTTCAGGCAAACTAAACTTTTAACGAGAGCAGTGCCTCTTTAGTTGGCCAGTGTCCTGACGGATTAGAAGTCAAGGCTCATTCAAATCATATTTTCCCCGAGTTTAGTGCATTTGTTGCCAAATTATAATTTTTCCCCCCACCGTCCTCAGTAACACTGGCTTCGTGTCAGTGTTGGAAAAATCCAGAGGGGGAGAGAGCACCTGAAAATGCAGCTGCTGTCATGTGGCTGATAATTGATGAATATGCATGAGGTGTTGGCTTCAGGTCCTTTTTAGGTCACCTGTGTGGCACTGTCAGGGTCGAGGGCTTCAGGTGTGGGGCAGGGGGTGTCTATTAATACACTGCTGCGATGGCATCCCTCCAGAAATATGACACTTCCTCTGTGAGCTGCAGTGTTAACAGCGTCACCCTGCCACAGAGCAGACCACATTTTTTTTTGGTCCATACTTATGACAGTTTAAGATATAAAAAAAATACCAGTGAAGTTCTCATGCATTGCACTTCAGAGTGTTTCAGCTACAAGTCAGGTCTAACAGCACATTTTAAAGATAGAATGAAATGGAAGAGAAATGCACTTGCTCCAGGAAATGTAACCAGACAAGATCAGATAAACCTTGTCTGATCGTCCGTCAGTTCAGCCCATGAAGGACCTTCAACTTTCAACATTTCACTTTGTAAAACTTAAACACCAAATACCTTTCTGTAGGTTATAGATAATGGAAAAATGTCACTCAAAAAACTGTAACTGAGGGTTGACCACGATAGTATGTCGATAGCATACCTTTGCCAGGAAGATTGATATATCTGAAAGTACTTTTCCAGTAGATTTAAGGCCATACTTGTTTCACCTCTGACCCCCTCACCTCCTCTCCCCTCCTCATGTTTCACCAGCTTGTGTAAAGGCAGGACACTTTATTCGGTGGTGCGAGATGCCAAGGTCGTGCTGGATGTTAACAAGACTCGGCAGATTGCACAAGAAATGGTGAAGGTAAACTCTACACAGCGAACTGACTCACATGACTACTTCAAGTGTAGCCAATCATACTTCAGGGCAATGACATCTTTCTCTGCCCACAGGGGATGGGCTACCTCCATGCCAAGGGGATTCTACACAAAGACATTAAGTCCAAAAATGTCTTTTACGACAACAGCAAAGTTGTCATCACCGACTTTGGACTCTTCACCATATCTGGGGTCCTGCAGGCTGGAATGTAAGTGTAATGAACAAATTACTTCAAGCCCCCACTGCACAAAGCTTTGTTTTGCAGCTGAAGATGCATGCGTGGCGATTTTGATTTGTTCAGTTCATACTAAAAACTAAACAAGCACACTGTGAAGAGGTGGTCAGGGGTGGTTGTTCACTGAACCCTGTGGATAGGTTGTTTGTGGTGTAAATGCCATCTGCTTTATTACTGTTATTACCTCAATTTTACACATTGAGAGCAGTCAAATTGTTAATGAATGTCATAAGAACAGGCCTCCCCTGACTTTAGCATCGCAAAAAATATTCTACTGGAATGTTCCGTGATATTAAAAACAATCTCATCTCATTCTGTAGTCTTTGTGACGTTAGCTTTTTCTCCATCTTTAGCTGCACCCCATCCCTGTGGGTCGGACCAACATTATTGTAACAAAACATTGTTGAAAGCAATCGATGAAAGATTTATTTATGACGTCTTAAAAATCCTACTGAACAGACCAACCTTGCTCCAGTTCTTGTGTTTTTTTAACAACATATCACGATTGAATTGAATTTGAAAAAAATTAAGTTGACCTAAATTGCCATTCAATACATATATATTTATATATAAAACTGCTAAGATCTCTAGGAGTGACAAGAATGGACATGATCGTGAATGGGGTCATTAGAGGGACAACACAGACAGGAAGGTTTGGAGAAAAAGCTAGAGAAGCCAGATTGAGATGGTTTGGACATGTGCAGAGGAGGGACAGTGGATACATTGGTAGAAGAATGTTAGAGATGGAGCTACCAGGTAGGAGAAAGAGAGGAGATATATGGATGTAGTGAGGGAGGACATGCAGATAGTTGGAGTCAGAGTAGAAGATACAGAGAACAGGGAGAGATGGAAATCAATGATTCACTGTGGCAACCACTGAAAAAAAAGGGACAAAGCCGAAAGAAAAAGAAGAAAGAAGAATAGACATATACAGTATGTGCTCTCACTCACACATATGCACACAAATTAACGTTATAACTACCTCCGGATGGGTACCGCCCATATATCATGTCTTCTGTCATGAAGATAGATGAAGGCACGACATAACACTGGATTTACCAGCTGTTCTTAGGTATGGCCCCACCCTGAGATCTACAGATAAATGTGTGTCTCGTCTTTCAAGTCTTTCATGTGAAGAACCTCTTAATGCCATCGGCGGTTCCCAGATCAGTTACTTAGCGTTTGTTGCTGCCTAAGTGAAAGTGAAAGTGTAATATTTTGAGAAAATATATTGTCAAATTGTCAGATATTGTCTAAAGACTGAACTTATACAGTATATTTACCAATCATCTCTCATGGTCAGCTATGAACACGTATGTATTTTGTCATTTGGTTGCTTGCCAACTCAGTGCATGACCGACGTTGTCAGTCAAATAAGCAGTACAGTATTGAATTTCCAGGAAAACCAGTTTGTGACATTCATGGCCCTGTTTGTGTTTCTAATAATAAAACATGTTGTTTGCCATTAAGGGGGCGTAGAGGGAATGTCTGTTCCCAGTGTTTATTAGTTCGTGGAAGAAGGGTGTTGTTGATACAGTGGCCTTAATTACTAGATCATGTGTCTCTCTAAAGCCCCCATGCATTAAGAGGATCTATAGTGGCAATGTTGGTGTTTTCATTACTTTAAATGGGGAATTGTTCAGTTGGAGTTGTCTTCTATGTAAGCTACAAAGTTGTAGCCATTATACCAGGCTTAATTCCTACACTTTTAATTCTTTTTAGGCACTAGGTGTACATTTTTTTTATTTTAATATGTTCGGATATGCTTTCCAAGTGTAACTAGGAGGATACCTCAAAGACTAAATCTGAGTGGGGGGATACTGTACATAGAATTTCGTGTTGTATCCCCGTCGCATTAACTTCATGGACTCATTATAAGCATTGACTCTCACAATCTATGCTGGTTTACATTATATTTGCCAGTGACTGTTGAAGACAACTTGCATTGACCTTTAATCTAGTCATAGAGAGTTTCCCACTTGCAAAGCATAGTCATTGTGGAAAATCTGTGATTGAAAGTTCTTAGTGAGAAAAAGCAGTGAAATAAAAGCAGACCCTGCTCGCACATATCCATAAACGGATAAGTGCATATAAGAAGGGTCAAATAAATTGTCATTAATGTTGTAATAAAATGTTTCATTTGTGGGACAACCCCCCAAAATTTTGTGTTTTGTAAAGTAGGTGTATTACAGTGTTGTGACTACTATAGTTAACAGCCAAACTACAATTTACATTAGGAAATTGGATCCATTACAGAAGTTGTACTAAATCTCTATGCAGATGACTCCTTGGATTGCCTTGATGAAGAAAAAGGAATATAGAATTTATATTTATTAAATTGAAAGTTGTTTTATTAATTTTTATAAAATATAAGATGTAATTTAATCCAAAAATAGTTACATCGATGGCAACTGGACGAGGGAGGTTTGTTTTTTTAAGATGTTTCATGTTCTCATCCAAGAGGCTTCTTCAGTTCTGATATTTAGCCTCAAGGGGGTTACATACGCATAACGAGGGTTATTGCAGAAAGGGGGGATGGAGGTGTGATGAAACCCACCCAAAACTTTTGGCTGGGTGTCCTTTGAAATTAAATTGTGGTCTTGTTTTTCAGGGAAGGGGTTGAATTTTTTGAGGAGAGAACTCAGGACGACTTTATAGGTGGATGCAAGGTTGTGTTTCAAACCACCTCTTCTATTGAGAGATGGTTTCTCCATATTAATGTAGGAAGTATTGAGGGTGTTGGTGGATTTAAAATGGACATGAATTTGGTTGGATGAGAGGTGAAATGTCTTCAAAAAATAAACTACTCCGTCCAGTTGCCTTAGATGTACTTATTTTAGATTAAATGACCTGGATGACTGAGAACCTACACAGAGACATATAATATTGTTTTGGTTAAAAAAACAAGTTGCGCTTGTTTGTATAAAAGATGGTCATTTAAAATAGAATCCAGTGTGCTGCATTTAACTGTCGCACTCTCTATTTCACCTCTGACCATGTAGCTGATGTTTTCGACCACTCTTTTCCGGTTGTCACAGACTTAGCACATTTCTGTGACCATGTAGTTTTGTTCAGTAGGATTGACACCCGAACAATATTCTCTCTGTTGTAGCCAACCTTATGTACCTGTGGCTAACAAAAAAGCACACAAATGGGAGAGAAAAACCACTAACGGACTAGTTTGAGTACACAACATGACATCTCACGTGAACAACTCCTACCTTACATGAAAACAGACAAAACAGATTCCTGTGCCATAGTGGCTACATGATAAAGCTCAATAAACATTGCTTACATTTTTCCCATTTTGCAGTCGGAGAGAGGATAAACTGAGGATTCCCAACGGCTGGCTGTGTCACCTGGCCCCAGAAATCATCCAGCAGCTCTCCCCGGATACAGAGGAGGACAAGCTACCTTTTTCCAAACAGTCAGATGTCTTTGCTTTTGGGTGAGTTTTTTTTCTCAACTCTCCAAAGAAGCCTTATCCGGAGAAAAAAAGTGTATGTAAAAGAATACGGTGCATTTTCATTTTAATGGAAAAGTGTCTTAAAATGTGGCAACTCATTAGTTTTTTTTTCAGATCTCATTATAGATACATATTTTCCTCGGCTCTTCTAAATAGACTGAACTAGTGACCATTTTAGCACGATTAACAGTTATTAAAGTTGAAGAGGTAGAAACTATCTGACTTTGACATGCACTTCATTTGTCAGCATTCGGTGATTCCTGTGGATATCTAATATTCCCGAACCTCCACTTTGCACTTTGCCTTCATGAATTGGGCCTTGGTGATGATGGTGCAGAATAAATAGTGCTCAAATAAGCTTTGACAGCTGGGTGACACATCGGAGACAAGGACAGGCATCACACTGATACGTGATTGGCTCTCCCATGTGAGTGAAAGAGATGATTTTGGGGCTTGGTTAAACGAATCACAGGAAACCAAAGGGGTGTTACCCTATTGAGTTTCTACTGATTAGATGAAATTACAGGAAGGAGGGATGTGTGAAAAGTGATGGGATGAAGATGAACTGATTAAGTCAGAGAAGAAAAAAAAAGAAAAACTTTTAAAACAGAAGTAAGGATTTGTGGTTCAATGTGTAAATTCTTTATTCAGTGTTTTGACTTTTTGGGGGAATTCCGGGGAATATCTTTGTTTCTTAAAGGAATGAAATCTTGTCCTTTTCTGTTATATTTATTCAAGGGTTCAGTCCTGAACCAAAATAAATTTTCTTTGAAGAATTTGCTTATTGTATCTAATACAATATGTATCAGTAATTATATGTATCAGTAATTGATAGATAGATAGATAGATAGATAGATAGATAGATAGATAGATAGATAGATAGATAGATAGATAGATAGATAGAGAGATCGATAGATGGCTCCTTAAATGTCAAAATATTATTCCTTTATTTCATTTTTCTCTCTATGTGGATTCAAGGCCTCAGGTCTTCTTTCTTTCCTACAAGGCCATTTCTGATTCATTTGTAGGCATGGACCTGGCTCTGTTGACTACTAATGAAATTCCATTTTCAGATGGTCCCCCATATGGAGTTTTTCGTCAGTGTTTCATTTTAAAGATACTGGTCGCGCTGCTGTCTCACAACGCCCAGCTGCTGTGATAGTCCCAGTGTTACCTGGAGGTGACCCTGGGGCTGTTTTACATATTCATCAACAATCAACCATCATTCCCCCCACTACTACTGGCACTGAGCTATTTTTAGGGCTAGTCAAAGTTGATGTATGCAGAGGAGAATGAAAATAACCTCACAGGGAGTGTGCTGTTGTGTATTGTGTTTGCATTAGCGATCTTCAAAAGCACAAGTTTTGGACCTCGTGGGAAAAGAATCTCAAAAACCCAATAATTAATGCTAAGATAAGACTTGAGTGCACATTACTTTTTTATGTTGTACATGTTCAAGATCTCGTACAGAAGGAACCTCAATGATCAGGATGTTTGATGACGATGGTACCATTGTCGTGATTTAGTTATCTAATACCAATACCTTCCACTGTCCTCTCAGCACCATCTGGTATGAGTTACATGCACGCGAGTGGCCTTACAAGAGTCAACCAGCAGAGGTTATCATATGGCAGATTAGCAGCGGGATGAAGCCCAACCTTGCTCAAACTGGCATGGGCAAGGAGATATCGGTAAGACCTAGTCTCTGATTTCTGTTTTCTCTTCATTCTTATTGTGCTCATACATGGTTCCTGTGTTTTTAATGTGCCAAAAGGACAAAGATCTTGGTCTAGATTTACCAATTAACAGAACACATGAATCCCAATAAGTCCAGCATGGGCAAACTACGGCCCGTGGCCGGATGCGACCCGTTCAGCTTTTTAATCCGGCCCACCAAACATTTCCAAATTATATAATTTATTTATATTATCATTATACTTCTGCTTTTTCCCTGCAATACCCACGTTTTCCCAATAGATTAAATGCAATACCCACGTTTTCCCAATATATTAAGTAGAAAATGCTAAAAGCATTTGAGCCTTTATACATGACATGTCGTTCAACTTAGATCACACAAACGCTCCATCTATCTGCTACTGACCTGCACCCCCACCCTTTGAATTTTAGGACCCATTGTGGCCTGCAAAAAGTTTGCCCACTTCTGCAATAAGTCAACATCAACTTCTTTGTTGTCTTATTTAAAATTGCAGGTTAACACTTTCTCATTCTCCAGTATTCAATCAGCCTCACCACCTGCACTTTTTCTCCTGTGTGTTTTCCTTCTTTATAGTTGACTAATGTGCTCCACCTATGTGCTACCCTCTTCTATAGACACCTCCAACCTTCCATTTCGTTTCATTCCTCAAATCCGGTTGACAGTAAATTATGTTTGGCTTTCCTCTTGCCCCCATTATCTGCCTCATGATCTACATTTGAGCTCCTTACCATCAGTGTAATGATACCAAAGCATGCTTCTACCAAAACCAGCTGAACTTGACTAACTACTCATAACCTTGAAAGTTAGTTTGTGAGTCCAAAAGCTAATCTTTCCTGACCTAGATGTGAGAAAGACATATATATATATATATGTATTTTTTTTTTTTTGTATATAAATCACCATTACATTTTGACAACACAAAGATCCATCAGCAAGTGGACACCAGGAGTATTAGAACTCAGCCACACCTAGCCAGCAGCAGAGAGACAGATGCTGTGTTCTAGTTTATGAGCTGCAGCTAAAAGCCCTATGCTAGATAGATAGATAGATAGATGGATGGATGGATGGATGGATGGATGGATGGATGGATGGATGGATGGATGGATGGATGGATGGATGGATGGATGGATGGATGGATGGATGGATGGATGGATGGATGGATGGATGGATGGATGGATGGATGGATGGATGGATGGATGGATGGATAGATAGATAGATAGATAGATAGATAGATAGATAGATAGATAGATAGATAGATAGATAGATAGATAGATAGATAGATAGATAGATTAAAACATTTTAAGCAAAGATCCTTGTCTGTGTGTGTGTATATATTTACAAATTTAGGTTCCACAAATGTGCTCTCAGAACACCAGGTTTTATAATGTATGTGTTGTTTGTTCCACAAATGTGCTCTCAGAACACCAGGTTTTATAATGTACGTGTCGTTTCTCCAGGACATCCTGCTCCTCTGCTGGGCATACAAGCCTGAAGAGAGGCCGAGCTTCTCCAAGCTAGTAGATTTACTGGAAAAGTTGCCAAAACGGAACCGTCGCCTTTCCCACCCTGGACACTTCTGGAAGTCAGCTGAGTATGTTAAATGAGTTTTCGGGAAAAACAAAACATCAAATGATCAGCGGCTATTTTAAAAACAGTCAGCTGCCATTTTTCTCCTCCATCAATAGCGCGTGTCCACAAAAATGTGCTGAATCTAAATACCAGCCCAGTGATAAAAACTGCCCCTCGCTGTGTGTATTCTTGTGGAATGTTGGCATGTGTGTGTACAGAAAAGTTGACCAGTTGTCCAGCTTCCTCGCAACAGTTGAGACTCACATTTCCTTTGGTTTCATTTGAACCATACTGGATATCTTTCTTCACTCTTTTTTTACTTTCTTTCTATTACTATTGACCTGTTTCCTTCACTTTTGATTTATTTCCTGAATGTGATGTGCTTGTAACTATTAACTGAAAAAAACAAACAAACAAACAAAAAAAAAAATTTAGAGAACAAATATAGACTTAATTTCTTCATGTCGTTCTCTTTATTTTGAATGTAACTGTTACACATCACACATTGTATATTTTCATGACATTGTGGTCCCATTGCTTATTTGTGTCCGCTGTGTAGACCACCATGACACGGTGTTACATTGTGTCTCATGTGTGAATGTCTGTACAGGGTAACGTGTCCGTCTAGGAGACTTCCTTTTTGACACGTGACGTCCTTTTTATTTCTACCGAATCATTTGAATGTGAAGACGCCAGTGTCACTGTTGCTGTGATGATGTGACATGCATGTCTCTGTGATGCTAAGACTTCACTCTGATTGGTCTGCGCTTTGAATATTTGCTGTGAACACAAGTGGGTTGGAACAATGTCAGCCTTCTGCTAAGAAAGAGAAATTACACAGAAGCCACTACGCTGATCGTTATCTATCACTTTATGCAGGTCTGTCAAAGTCTCTGGCACTTGAAAGGTACAGTAAATTTGCCAACTGTTACGGTGTTAATTCCCTCTGAGGAATGCTAACACTGAGCTTCCGCAACTAATTTCCCGCAAATAACGCAGCATTATTTACTAAATAGCTATGGATGGTTGACAAGTCTAAAAAGAACAAAAACTTGTTTTCCTTCAAAGACACCGCTCCTACAATATTATCACAACGAAAACCTTTAAAAAAAAAAAAGAAATAAAGAAAAATATATATACACATATATACTGTACATAAATACATACATATGTATATATACTTATATGTATATACATATGTTTGTATGTGCTTTATATATATATATAAACTGTATGTGTATATATGTGAACATATATACATATATATATAGATATTCTTTTCTTCTTTTTCTTTCAGCTTTGTCCCTTTTTTTCAGGGGTTGCCACAGCGAATCATTGATTTCCATCTCTCCCTGTTCTCTGTATCTTCTACTCTGACTCCAACTATCTGCATGTCCTCCCTCACTGCACTCCTTCCTCTCTTTCTCCTACCTGGTAGCTCCATCTCTAACATTCTTCTACCAATGTATCCACTGTCCCTCCTCTGCACATGTACAAACCATCTCAATCTGGCTTCTCTAGCTTTTTCTCCAAACCTTCCTGTCTGTGTTGTCCCTCTAATGACCTCATTCCTGATCCTGTCCATTCTTGTCACTCCTAAAGAGAATCTTAGCATCTTTAACTCTGCCACCTCCAGCTCCTCCTCCTGTCTTCTGCCTATTGCTACTGTCTCTAAACCATACATCATGGCTGGTCTCACCACTGTCCTGTAAACCTTTCCCTTCACCTTAGCTGACACTCTTCTGTCACAGATCACTCCTGACACTTTTCTCCAGCTGTTCCATCCTGCCTGTACTCTATTCTTCACCTCTCTTCCACAATCTCCTCTGCTCTGAACAGTTGATCCTAAGTACCTAAACTCCTGCACCTTCACCACCTCTGCTCCTATTTCACTGCTCCTATTTCACTGTTCTCCCTTTCGTTTACACACATGTACTCTGTCTTGCTACGGCTGACCTTCATTCCTCTTCTTTCTAGTGCAAACCTCCACCTCTCTAGATTCTCTTCTAGCTGCTGCCTACTCTCACTACAGATCACAATGTCATCTGCAAACATCATAGTCCATGGGGACTCCTGTCTGACCTCATCTGTCAATCTGTCCATCACCACAGCAAACAAGAAGGG